CTGTTCCCATCGGTAAGCCTGTGGCTCTGGGCAGTGGCCAGTGTGTGGCATGCTGAGTGCTGCTGGGGCAGGAGACGGGCCAGGGCTGCCCCTCAGGTGAACGCCTGCGGCCTGTGTGCAGTGGGCTCTGTGGCTTCCTTAGTCAACGTCTCCAGGTGTCTCCTCAGAAGTTTCTTCTTGGGAAATTCACACAGTTTGTGGTGATTTTAACAGGGAATCTAAGGGTCTCTATAGACCCTTATTTGCCTATTCGATTTGAAAATTTGTGTTGAATGTCTTCACATTGAGGTGCTGAGCTATGCGAGGTGAGGGCTGTGAAGGTGAGTCGGGGCGCTGCCTCAAGACCAGTGTCCCCTGCACAACACACGGCTTAGCGTGTTATAAGGTGTAGCGGAGATGGACCGTCTCCTCTGACCTGATGTGGGGACGCGAGTGTGGAAGACACTGAGCTGTAGCATCTCCTTTGAGTGCTGTGCGAGTGTGTGTGTGAGTGTACGTGGCATGTGCGAGTGTGTCAGTGTGTGTGTGAGTGTACGTGGTGTGTGCAAGTGTGTGTGAGTGTACGTGGCATGTGTGTGTGTGTGAGAGTGTACATGGTGTGTGCGAGTGTGTGAGTGTGTGTGTGAGAGTGTATGTGGTGTGTGTGAGTGTACGTGGCGTGTGCGAGTGTGTGAGTGTGTGTGAATGTGAGCATGTTGGGGGCACTGTGTAAGAGAGCTTGACCAAGCAGGTGACAGAGCCCCGAGCCCCCCACCTCACAGCTCCCTTCTTGTTCAGACTCCGGGAGGAGGCGGCAGCTCTGAGGTCCGGCTGGGACGCCCAGATCGCTCAGCTCTCCCGGGACACTACCTCCAAAGACCTGCAGATCCAGTCGCTGCGGGAGGAAGAGGCGAAGCTCAAGGCACAGCTGGCCAGGTGCCAGCAGGACGTGGCAAGGTGACTGTCCCCAGGGCCGACCTTCTCATCGAGTGCCTCCTGAGGCCCGGTGCTGTCCTAAGTGCTACAGGTGCAAAACGGAGCAGAACCAGGTCCCTGGTGTCACACCTTAGTGGGGGAGAAAGACGGAAACAGAAGTAGAGTTTTTCTCAATTGTTTTTGTCTTCAATTTCATTGATATCTACTCTCATTTTTATTATTTTCTTTCTTCTACTTCCTTTGGCTTTAATTTGATGTTCCTTCTTCAATAGTTTCTAATAGTGGAATCTTAGCTTATTGATTTTGGGGCCATTTGCCTTTTGTAAGAAATATAANTGACTGCAGCAAACGCACAAACCATGGCCTCATCGAAAATGCGGATGGGATGTAAAAGCGGTCATGGACTATGTTTCTTAGGGTTTTCACTTTTTACCGAAACCAAATAGAACAAAAACATCAATGGTCCTGAGCATCATCAGTCAGAGGTCAGCGTGACACTCAACAGAACAGCTTGGTACATTGTCAAGATGAATGTCTGTTGTGGTGACAGAATTCCTGTCGGTTTGGCATTTCCAGCAAAGACGGAAGTGCAGCCAGCGCCCCACGGCCCACAGCCGGGAGCTCGTACCCTGAGTGAGGTCAACCCAGCACAATCGACCAAGACACACGGCAGCTAGCGCTGAATTTTGTTTCAGGTGTTGACGGGATATTGACAGGGTGCTGTCGACAGGTGTAGGTGTCGACAGGGTGTGGGTCGTGCTGGTGGTACTGGCGGTCCAGGCATGCTTTCCTGATGCAGCTGTTTCTGCTGTCTTTTTTGCGTGGGACTGTGAGCTCCCAAGGGCAGGCCAGGGTCCTGGCATCTGAGAATTGCTCAGTCAGCGCCTACTGTGAGGAGTGACGGGTGAAGGAACATGTGGTTACTACAGCAAAGACTAGGCAGCACCCGGCCCGGCTGGCTGAGGACATAAGCACAGCTCCCCTGTGTGGGGCAGGAAGGGTCCAGTGTCGGGACCGGAGCAGGCCCTGCGTGAGCTGCGTGGCCCGCACTGTCTTTCAGGCATGAGGAGCTCGACCGCCTGGCCCGGGAAAGGGACGCGGTGCTGGCATCGGTGAAGGACGCCCACGCGGAGCAGTTGCGGGCACTGGAGGCCAGGGTCGTGGAGCTGCAGGCCCACTGTGAGGCACTGGAGCTGCAGCTGCGCAGGGCTGAGTGGAGGCAGACGGACGCCCTGAAGGAAAAGGACGCCGCCCTGGACAGGTGAGTGTGGGCCCACCGCTTGCTCCATCCGACTCAGGCCAGGGTGGGCAGTGGGTGCAGCGTGGGCCACCTGTAGCTCTCTGGTCCTTTTCTAACCATTCTTTCTCTGAAATTGTGTGGTTAGTATGTGTGCATGTGAATGGATGTGTGTGGTTATTCATTTGGTAAAACACATGACGTTGACCATCTTAACCTTTTTGGGTGGACATCTCGGTGGCTTTAAGCATGTTCAAAGTGCGGTGCAGCCATCATCACCGTTGCCTCCAGGACTCCCATCTTGTAAAGTGGAAACTGTCCCTATGAAACACTCCCCAGCTCCTCCCCCAGCCCCTGGCACCACCATCCTACTTTCTGTCCCCGTGAACTCGCCTGTCCTAGGNGAGGAGGCGCGCGGCCAGCTGCGGAGCCTGCAGGAGGACTTCGTCTATAACCTACAGGTGCTGGAGGAGCGGGACCGCGAGCTGGAGCGCTATGACGCCGCCTTCGCCCGGGCCCGCGGGCTGGAGGAGGCCTGGCAGGCTGAGGTGAGCCAGCTCAAGGTGGAGGCGGCCAGGCTGCGGCAGGCGCTGGCCCGCGAGGCCGAGCGGCGGGAGGACCTGCAGCAGCTGCACCAGCGGGAACTGCGGGAGCACCGCCTGGCTCTGGAGCGGGCCCACAGGTAGGGGGCGCCCCTCCCGCCTGAGCACGTGTGGGCTCACTTCGCAACGCTGCTGCCTGGCCCGGTGTTAGCGCCGGCCCGTCCACTCAGGCGGCACAGGGCTGGCCAGCGGGACGCGCAGGCGCTCCTCTGTGGCAGGCCAGGTGCGAGGAAGGGGCCCAGCCACCTCAGTGGGTGCAGGGCCACCAACAGCCCCTGTCCCGATACACAGCCTACCGGGGGCCCTGTAACCCACGCACAGCCCCAAGAGTCTGTGCGCACGGCCCCCTGCAGACCTGCCCTCCTGCTGCGGTGCCAGGGATGCACCGTGACGCAACAGCACCCGACAGCACGGCTGGTGGCGCTGTCACACCCCACACCACCTCTCCGCTGTCACGTTTAACCAGGGCCAGCCTCCCCGGAGCAGGGCAGCGTCTCAAGAGCCGCTCACCCGAGTACACACGTTCACACCAGGCTGGCCACAACCCTGTTAAAAATGACGCGGTGCCCGTGGGGATCCCTCCGCTGAGACCCTGGCTGCTTTCTCACGCCTGTGGGAGTGTGAGGAGCAGCCGTGAGGTGCCTTGCGTTAGTTAATGGTGTCTCCTCAGGTCCTCTGCCCATTTATTTTTGCCAAATTTGGGACATTTTATGCTATTAGTTTCGTCAAATGAATTTTTGGTCCCGTTGTTCTGTCTTCCGTTGAAGCACTTCTATGATGGCAGCTTTAAAACCTTTGTTAGACAATGTCAACGTCTGTCATCTTGATGATGGCTTCTGTTGATTGTCTTTTCTCATTCAAGTGGAGACTTTCCTGGTTCTTGGTGTGACCAAATGAATTTTGATTATTTCCTGGACACTTTGGAGATTGTGTTGTGAGGGTCTGCATCATCCCATTTAATGTTCTCTTTTCAGGCAGTCACCTTTC